ATCTGCTCACAAAAAATCCACAAGACTTCATTTGTAGAAGTTCACTATAAGTCAAGTTTGTTGCCATCTGATCAAGACATTATGAGTCGCATAGAGTTTGTGTATGCGAAGGATATTCTCTTACTTAAATCAATGAAATGAAGATTTATAATTTTCGTATGCATGTTTTTTGTTCTTCTTTCAATTATATTGTGTAATAATATATTATGTGCACTTTCACAACGAATAGACAACATGACAAACGTCGCCTTTCATTCATTATTCATCAACAACAAAAACACAAAATAATTCAGGAGCATTTTAGCAAATAGATGGCGTGGATGGATGTGAGCGTGTGTCTTCTCTTCATCCACACCTACAATTGATAAAATCGTGCGACTAAAGTTAACTTTCGGTAGAATACTTGCATGGATAGTTAACCAGAAAAACACAAAAGTATTCGAAAACTTTTTGATGCATTCTATTTAATAAAGCTGTTTTCACTCATCCTTTCAATAAAAAGAATCTTCAATTTTCATCAACGAAGAATAGTGCTAGACTTAAAATACTAAAAAGTATTAAATGGTTCAGGAGTTTTGGAACAATTTGACTTTTTCCAATATTTTGACTGCAATGAATTCATTTGTTGATAAAAATTGAAAAATCTTTGTATCGAAATCATATCAACAAAAAAAGCTCTATAAAATCAGATATGACATATAAACAAATGTCAGGTCTCTGCATTTCTTGTAATTGACTAGGATGTGGGTGTGGATGCTTGTGATCGGAAGTAGGGACCCACACCCACACCCTCAGAAACCGATTTTTGCTTTTCCAAAGTATTCGTTGCTTTATATAATTCGATGCAGCTCGATGAGTTGATTTCGAAAATAGCCTTAATTTTGCGCTAAAATATCTTTAAATTTGCAAAATTAAGAATTCTGGGGTAGAAATCAGATTTTTTCGAAGAACTGTAACTTTACCTCTATGCACTGATACAGAACGATAGATCACATGCAGAACATAAATTAGAGAAAGTTTTAGTCCGGCAATTAGTTTTTTTTTCTACTCAATTTCTTATTTCATTGAAACAAATTTTTCATAAAATACAGCTCATAGTGCAATCATTGTTTTCGATAGTTTTCACTTTGAAATATTTCCATAGCTTGATAACGGAAGTGATTTTCAAAAAACTACCATTTTACAAAAATATTTTTGGCAGTCGACTTGTCCAGCGTTCAACTTGTTTTTCGGAAATCGTACTTTAAACTTAAGACAGACTAATCATAGGTGTATTCATTCTAGTATCTGAATTTCGACAAAGAGAATTTTTGTTTATCTATGCTTGGTTGCCCATTGTGTGAAGTATAGATATCTACTACTCTGTTAGATTTTTTGATGAATTTTTTTTATAGAATTGTAGTTTATATAACTTATTTGTGATCTTCTGATCATCAGAACAGTTATAAAGTCTAAAAACTATCTGATGAGACCCTTAAGCAAAATGGAAATGCTTCATAATTGCTTTGGATAACTTCATCTTTTTCACCTCATTATTACACTTAGCCAATATTTGATATACATGACTCATAGATCCCAGTAGTCACGATTCATATGAGTTCTTGTATGTTCGGAATACAACTTAATCTGCTCTTTTCAGCTATACTATTTACTTGAGTTTATACGTTAAAACTTTGCTTGTAATCGCAAATTGTTGAGGTCTCCATATACTATATTGTAAAAAGCTCCTACCCAAAAAAAATAAAAGCAGTTTGTCAGTATTATCGAATTAAGTCGTTTTCAATTTTGATTCTAATAGATTATTTCAGAAAATGCAATCTACTATCATAAATTTTGAGCGGATCTGGCTCGTGAAAAAATTAGTTTTACAAAAAAATTTGACTCAAAAAAGATCAAAATTCAGAGAGTACATTATTTCTTGAAGTTTGAAAGTCAAATAACTTCAATTTAACTTCGACTAGTGTGGAGAAGTAAAAGAAAAAGAAGTGAATACTACAATGTATGGTAAAAATGAAGAATCATTACATCGTATAAGTAGACAAAACTTTATTTTAACAAGAGAAGAAAGAGGAAAATAATAGAAATATTGCTTCGGTACTGCCATATGTACATATCATTAGTAGATTAATATCATTTGTGATGGAAATAAAATAAATATGTCTTTTTGGCATTAAGGGTGTGGGTGGGTGGGTGTTGGTGTGGGTGAGTGTGTGGGTGAGTGTGTGGGTGTGGGTGTGAGTGTGGATGTGGGTGTGGATGTGGGCGCGTGGTGTGCGTGTGAGAGAGCAGAAGATTACAATCCACACCCAGACCCACCCACACCCACACCCACACCCACACACCCACATCCACACCCACACCCACACACCCACACCCACCCACACCCACACACCCACCCACACCCACACACCCACCCACACCCACACACCCACCCACACCCACCACACCCTCAACTGGAACTTGAACATTTTTAGTTTTAGGGAAAAAAATCAATACTCTAGAGAAGGATCATTTCTATTAAAAAAAATAGTAAAAAATGGGAAGTATGTAGAGATTTTTATTGTTGAAAGTTAGTTTTTATGTAAAATAAGTGCGATATTCGGAATCAGCATGAAAAAATATACTACAATGCTCTATATCTCAGTGTAAAATATTTCCCATTTAAAATTTTACCCGTCCATCTCCTCAATCTTTTTTTCCTTTTAGATTATCTTCTCCCATATCAATAAGAAACACTCAGAACAGCTCGTTTGTCTAATGTTAAAATAATTCAGTGTTAGTTGATTATATTTTTTGAATGATATTCTATCAGAATTTAATTTTAATACATTAAAAAAAGATTGAAAATCAAAATCAAATCAAATCTAGCCAATTAAGAATAGATTTTTCAACGGTTTTTTTTTTGGTTAAGGCTTACTCTGGAAGAGCATTTTCAATGGAAAAATGCGTTCAAATGCAAAATTTGAGACGGACTCTCTTTTATGCTTTGTAAAAAAAATCCGTTTATTTTTATTAGAAATGTTATTTTTCATTTGCGTTTATTAGAATAAAGAACGCATTCATTTCATGTGAAATCGTTTTTAGATGCCTGTAATAATAAAGAACACATGCATTTAGTAGCAGAGTTTTTTTTTAGAATATCATCCGAAACTATTTTATAATGTTAGTCTAAAACATTCAGTATTGTTCAACTCTTTCGGATAAACTCAAACAGATGTTCTATGTTCGAACTTAACAAACTGTAGATAAAAAGATAGGTTTTATAATTTCAACACATCGATGTACAGAAAGAAATCTGTGTTGAGTACACAAAAACACGTTGTATAAAATGGCATTTTGCAAAATGTTGTTTTTTTTTTTACTTTATGACTAGAGAAAAACGTTTTATATAGCATGCAAACAATAAAGAGAAAACATACGTGTTAAGAGAAGATGTATTGAAGGTCGGTTATATTTTTATGGACACTAGGCATATAATAAATTCAATCTCAACTCTAAGTTTCGATGTCAAATTTTATAAGATTGAAATTAAACTCGATCTCTTGAGTATGAACTCGAACGGTTTGATTTTAGTGCATGTACAATAGATACTAAGATTAAGGTTTACCAATAATAACTACTGTCTTTAAAAATTTTAGATATTATTCATAATTTAGAGTCCGTCTCAGAGCTAATTGGATTACTAAAAGTTGGTGCATATCTGACTATGGTTTAATGGTGATGAGCTCTATCTCATAGTTAGCAAAGGTAATATCAGAGCTCATAATTGATAAAAACGGATAGTAATGCTTTTATATTTATATAATTCGATGAACAGTATATCAAAATAAGAGTAAGTCTTCCAAGAAAATCTTCATTTATATAGAAAAAAAAATGTTTATTTATCAGAAATAGTTATGGTCTATAGTTCCAATAAAAATATCTTTAAATCTCAAGAACAAAATATTTATTCACTATTGATCCGTATCTGTTATGTCCTGGGATTGCTTGGTGTTATTGCAGCGATGATT